AGAGGTGGGTAACCGTCCTGGGTGCCTGCGTTGTTTTGGGGCGGTCCTTCCGTCACACTCGATCTGAGAGCTCTGTAGACCTCTAATGCCAGGTGGCGGGTGAGAGCTGGTGTCGATGAGGTGGTCGCGACGTCGGGAGGATCGGGGATATCGAGAGTGGAGCGATCCGGTGGGGTCTCAGGATGGCCATCTATAGAATCGTATCCTATGAAGAAAGAGGAGAAAGGGGTGGGGGCAGCATAGTAGGATGATATGGGGAAAGGAGCAGAGGAGAGAAAAGGAGAAAGGACGGAGGAAATCGAGACAAGAGGAGGTGGGAGAGGAGACATAGGTGAAACTGACGCAAGTTCTGGTAGAGGGGACCGGGACAGGGAGGTATCATAGGGTATCCGATGTTTTGCGGCCTGCAGCTTGGCGTGCACTGCAGACACTGGGAGTCGGTTGGGTCGGGACGCGGGAGTAGGTTCAGACGGCTCCACGAAGATGTGGGGCTCTTTGCGCGAGAGCGGGGGAGGTTGGGGCTCTGTCGCGACCGTAGTGCCGTCTGCTAATGAAAATTTACCGCTTCCTCGGGATTTGGTCGAGGAGACTTGCGGATTCGGGGCTGCGTCGCGAACACGTAGAGCTTTCCCGTTTTCGGATCTTTGACGCGGATCTCGTGCTTCCCTCCTGCGCTGCTGACTTCGGAGCAGCTGATGACATCGAAGAAAGGTCGTCCTAAAAGAACCTCGAAAGGCGCTTCTTCGACGACCTGGATCTGGAGATAGATAGTGATGGGACCGAGCTGAACTGGGTGGTCTTCAATAAGGCCTAGCGTCATGGTGGTGCTTGCGTTCGCCGACTCCATTGGCATAGCGCGACTCGCGACGATGGGTGCTTGCAATCGGGACCAGACATCCTTTCTCATCACCACGACCTGAGCACCTCCGTCGAGAATGCACTCGGGTTCGACACCCGGCCCAAACGTCGGGTGGATGACGCGAAGGGGAAGGGAGGAGGCTGCTGCGGAGGATGAGGAGTCGTACTTCACGAGGTCCAAGAAGACTGAGGGGGGTTCTGCATCGAAACATCCAGCTAGGTAAGCATCCACTTCATCGACTTCTACCGTGTTGGCCGAGATCTTCTTGCTGGTGACAATCTCCCTGACGTGCTTTCGAAGGTCGGGAGCGACGGCCAGAAGTTCGCGAGCGCTGAGGTTGACCTTGGAGTCGAGCACACGATGGACTATGTCGCTTGTCTTCACGTTGTGTTCGACTGGGGCCTGGAAGCGATACTTGGAGTCGTCTGGAGGTGGTCTAGGTGGATAGGAGACTGGTCGCATCGGTCCTTGGGGGCGCTGTGTCTGGCGATCTCCCGCTCGAGCTCCAGGCTTTCCGGAGGTGTTGGCGGGGTTCGTCTGGGTCTGGGTAGGAGCAGGAGTGGGCTTGGACGGTCCCGACTCGCGACTGGCTGGGGTAGGGCCCGTAGGGGCAGGTGGTAATCGTCCATCCCTTCGGGGTGGGCCCGTCCTTCTCGCGATCTCGACACCGTCAAACCTGACTTCTTGGGGCCAGTCTGCAGGGCGTAGATCTGGGCGTTGCGAATGGAGTCGAGCTGGGCTTGCATCAGTTCGACTTGTTCTAGTGTCTCGTCGTCGTACTTGGAGAGGGGGTTAGGAGCGTAGCGGTTCTCGACGGGAGTGTGTGGTATGCTGGTAGTCGCGTAGTCCTCTTGGTCGGGATCGCATTCCTCCTCGAAGAGGTCGTACTGTTCGTCGGGATGGGCGTAATACTCTTCGGCAGGGGGGTCTATGTCTATGGTGAACACACACTCGTCTGGGCCTTCTAAGAAGTTGGTTGCAAAGGCGTCGCGACCTTGTCCTTCGTCGAGGCCCTCTGATGTCCAGTAGTTGTCGATACGTTCGCGAAGGTTCTTGCCAGGGATGTTGCGTGGAGGGTAGCGGCCATCGGGCAAGGATAGCTTCCCGTAGCCGTTCTTGATGACTTTCCCTTGTACGAGGTAGTCCGCTGCGATGGGGCAGTCGCGAACGAAGTGGTCATGGGCGCTACAGAACACGCAGTTCTGGGTGTACTGCTCTGGGTTTAGGGTGTTCCACCGGGGGACGTTTTGAAATACTCCTCCCGGAGTAGTCTGGGAAGTAGCGGGACGAGGGAGGCGTGGTGGAGGGGCAGAAGGAGGGGGCCCACGGCGAGGCTGTACGTTCGCGGTGAAGACCCGAGTCAGGTTTGACATTGCCTGGATGAGCTCGCTGACGCTCCCCTGCTCTGCGGGCTCCGTCTTCGGGATGACGGCTCGAGAGTCGGGGTTGTCGTCGGGAGCGCGTGCGTTAAGGACGAACAACGCAGCCTCGTGGACATCAGAGAACTGGTAACCGTCGTCGGGAAGGACGTCAGGCTTCTTGATCGACAGTCGATGCAGGATTCGTGCGCGGATAGGCTGGGGGAATCCCCTGAGATAGGCGGCATCACGCTCCCGAGCGGTGTAGCGTCCCTTCGCAATGAGGTACGCGGAATAGGTAAGGAAGGACCGGTGGTAGTCGCCGAGGTCTTCGCGACTCATGTCCCGGTACCCGCGAGTGCGTTCCAGGAGGGTATCCAGGTCTCGAGTGGTCCAGCGGCGATCCGCTTGGAGGTGGGAGTACAGATGTCTAACTTCGATCTTGAACTGAGCCCAAGTGGCGGGAGTGTGAGCGAGGACGTCCGGGTGCAAGCAGGGAACGTGCTCCCAGGATTCAGCTGCACGACCGGCGTAACGCTGAGCCCAGTCAATCATCTGTGCGTCGTCTAGACCTGCGCGCTTGGCTACCTCCTCGAGCTCGTCAAAGAAGGTCTTGAAGCCTTGCTCAGTATCGGAGGCAAACCGGGGAGCCTCGCGACTGTGCGTCAGGGGCATGTTGGCCGTCATTGCTGGATAAGATACGGGTGGGCGGGTGGGAAAAGTTGGTGTCGTTATCGGGAGGGCCTGCGCGAGTCGCGACGGGGAGTCTGGGGGAGTGGGCGATCGCGACGGCGGAACGGTGCCTGGCAAGTCGGTGGGTGAAGATAGTGGGGTACGGAAGAAGGTCTCGTCTTGTTCGGGATGCGGGAGAGGGTTGTTCGATGAGGAAGCGATCTGCCGGGCTACGATGGCGGAAACGACGTTGTCGAGTAGAGAGAGAGTTTGGCGAGTGTCGAGAATAGCCTGTCGGGCTTCCCGAACGTCTTGGTTAATCTCGGCTGGGGCTTGCAGAGCCAGGAGCCGAGCGCGAGATCGCGTCTGAGGGGGGGAGAAATCTAGCGGGATAACCTTCTGCGCACGACCTCGTCCGCGGGGTGGAATGGCTGATAGCTTCTAGCCAGAAGTGACCTCTGAACCGGTCTCGGCGTGGGTTCCAAAATGAACTGCTACTATCCGGGTGGAGTCGGGACACGACCAGAATAGCAGAAGTGGGGGTGAGGGGTCACCGGTTGTGCAGAGGTCGGGAAGGGGAGAGAAGCTAGACAGAGGAGAGGGAACCACGGTAGGTCGCGACGTTGTCGGGACGAGAAGGGAGAACTCCGTACTAGCAAACTCCTGCTAGACGATGACGATGGGCTAAGGGGCTAGTGGGCGATGGGCTAGTAGGCTAGGGGTCTATTGGAACTATGGGGCTAGTGGGATCGATGTCAGAGCGAGGAGCTGGAGGTTTTCGATGATCAGGTCGTTCAAGCAGAAGGGAGAAGAGGTGTGAAGAGGCCCAGGGGTTTCTTGGTCGTTCAACTAGCTAGTACAGGGTATTTATAGGTAAAGACAGTGCGATCTACGCGAAAGAGATGGGAAAAGTAGCGAACAAATGGAGAAACGGTGGGAGAATAAGAACAGGTAGATAGAAGGGGATAAACGAGAGTCCGATGCAGGGTAGGGAGACAAACGGTTCATCGGGAGGCCGGAACGAGGCTGGGACAGGTCTTACCGAGAGGATGGAGCGATCGTGAGAAACAGGACCGAAAGGGGAAGTCTACGGGTTCGAGATCAAAAGATCGTAACCGGGCGGGAGAGCGGGAGCAGTCGAAGATGATTGGCGAGCGAGAGGGAACGAGTCGACACGTGTATAGACTGAAGGGAACCGGACCGAGGGAGGGGACACGTCATCTCGGCGAGATAAGGGATCGGGAGACATCGGCCGATCGCAACATCACGTGCCGTTCGGGGAGGACGGCCACGGAGGCATAAACAGCGTGCGATGACGCGCGTCGAAGGGATCGCGGGAACGGCTCGATGATCGGGACGTCAAGTGGGCGTGACCCTCCTGTGACCGATCGAGGGGTCGTCGGCTCGCGTAGTCAGTAGCTAGCGGGGTAGGGAGGTAGGGACTGGGGACTAGCACTAGATTCGACGGTCGCGCGAATAGACAGCGGGTCACCGTGCGCTTCCGTGACCGGTCGGACGGATGGTGGAAGCACGACGGTCAGATCGCCTCAGGAGTCCCACAATCTGACGACATCCGGTCCGAGGCGGAACTTCTCACAAACGGCATGCGTTTTGCCTGCACATTTATTTATCGTCACAATGACAATTGAATCCTGGTCCGTGTTTTCTCTCCCGCTTCAGTGCTGATCTACCCTCGTTACCCTCTCCCTTGTTGTTGATCTTCACTCACGGCCACTTACCCCGTGTATCATTACCAACGAAAACCCCCCTGCCACATGCTATAGTAGTTAGCCTGTAAACTCCGCACACTGTAGTTGTCGTGTCTCATATGTGGAATTTATTAACTCGAGCGCGCCTCGGAGGAGCCTTCCCCTGCGGCAAACAAGTGTAAACAAATTACGATCAAACTTGGTGGGGCTGCCCATCCCCAGTTCGCGTCCACAGTCTCGATCCCGTGACCGCTCTGAAATCCCAGGCACTCAGACAGGGGGGGGGGGCGAGAAAAGAGTTAGCACAAGGATACAAAGATGGAAGCAGCACGAGGGGAGGACCGCCATCCAAGGAGAAGATGGAGAAGGTTGAGGAAGAGGTCGATCTGTCGGCGGAAAAAGAGGTCCTACCCGGGATCGAACCGGGGTTACGGGAAATTGATCGAAGTCAGAATCCCGTGTGATAGCCGCTACACTATAGAACCCTTGCTGGGAGAGTTGAAAATTACGGTCATGATCATTTTTCTTCCCGATACACCTTTGTCAGAGGCAGGGCGGACACAGTTTTGGTGGTGATTTATTGCGTCAGGGAATGGTGGGAGTAGCGGTGCACATTGTTATTCCGGTACCGACCCCTCTGAGGGGAACATCTGCATGTCGGAGAAGAAGCAAACGCCGACTGTGACACCCGCGAGTTAGTGTACCGAGGTCCGAGGATGTTGATGAATACCTATTTAGCCCGTTTGACAAGTACGACACAGGGGATGGTTTGGAGAGATTAACCGGTGCCATGGAGGGTGGTGAGGAAGCAGCTGCTTGGTGGCTGTGCAGTGTGGCTCGGGAGGTAGAAGTGATCAGCCTTGGGCCGAACTACTTGAACCCCCTCTCGGTTGGTCGCCAGTTCGCTCCGTGGCAGGACTCCAATCTATTTCCACTCCATTACGACTTTCTTCTTCACGATCCACTCTCCTTTCTTCACGACCAACTCATGTTTCCTTCAATATCCACCTCTATTCTCTTACTTCTCTCTTTATCTTCCCATTTCTGCGATACCTCTGCCCAGACACCTTCCACCCCAAGGTACGCGAGATCCTATCCAAAGAACTACCCTTATTCACGTCTCCTGTAGATGGGGTCAAGCACACGCTATCATCGAAGAGACCCTCTGGGTCTTTGGTGGAAAAACTGACCCCTACAACCAATTCTCTTACACCTCCGCCCCAAACACCAACGATCTCTTTAAACTCGACCTCCGCCAGTCGTTTGACCTCTCAAATCCTCCATGGGTCATCGAGGGCGGCTGCGGAAACAGCACCGGTTGTCAAGGTCCCCTCGTGGCATTCCACTCACTCTCGGCTTACGACCCCTCACATATGCTCTTGTTCGGTGGCCAACCCGATCCGAACTCTAATATCGTCCTTCCCGACATACCCGATTCCGCATGGACCTTAAATGTGCAGGACAGCACTAGTCCTTCGTGGGTAGACGAACCGCAGGGCTGGGCGAGCGAACCATCCAGACGGATATATCACTCCGCCTCCTCTTCTGGCGGCAAGGTGTTTATCATCGGAGGCCAGAAGGCTGATGGTTCTCAAACCGCTATCAGCCAACACGAGAGCTTTGATTACAGTGTTCCAAGCTTCACCGCCTTGCCAACTTTGAACGCTCCCCCAGACATATACGGACACACCTCCCTCGTCCTGTGGAATGGTACTCTTCTCGTCTTTGGAGGCTACAGTCAATCTCAGGATACCTTGCTCTCGTTTTCTACCATCTGGACTTTGGATACTTGGGCCGACACTCTCACATGGTCTTTTGCCCGGATCGACAACACAACTTTACCCCTTGCGAGACGTAACTTTGCCGCCGTCGTACTGTCGGATGGCAGGATTCTGATACACGGTGGATCAGACGCTGTGCTACAGACGACCTATAGTGACGGCTGGATTTTGGACACAACCAAGGATCCTATGGTTTGGAGCCAAGTGGGTCCACTCTCCACTTTGGGTCCAAGGAGGGATCATATGGCTGTAGCGATCGGCCCTGTCGTCATCTTTGGTTTCGGTGTGTCCCCTGTCAGATCGCTCTGACACAGTTACTGAAAGCCAGCTGCAGGATATGGCTCGTCTGGCCCAGCATCTGCCCCGATAACTGTCTACGACCCATCAACAGGGACCTGGCCCTCAACCTACACACCTCCCTCACCATCTTTCACACCAATCAACACCTTTGTTTCAACTCCGACGTCGCAACCGACTTCCAGAACGAACCCGCACAGTTCCACGACTAACCCCCTCGTCCCTACTACGAGCGGCAGCGGTATTGCGTCAACTAGTAATAGCTCACATATCGCCGCTATCGTCATTGGAGTCATCCTTGGCTCCCTCGCCCTCGTGGCGGTATCGATCGTCGTCGTGGTTGTCCGCAGGCGCCGCCGTCTCAGTAACGGTCGTTTCCACATGCTCGGCCCCTCCGAGGACGACGAAAATCCACACGTGGCAACCACAATCCCGGTGGCACAATCGACCACAGACCGTCACCGCTTCCCCATGTTTTTCTTCGGTATCACCGATCGTCGCAACTCACCTCAGCGACGTGACATGCTTGCTGACGAAGACACGAGGCACTTCAACGATTATTCACACATTAGGGATGCGACTCATACAAGTTCGTTCATGGAGAAGCCAGCGTCTCTCGTGAGGGACTCATGGGCGTCACTCCGCTCTGTTGGTGCACTTCTCGGCGTCAACACTACGGGGTCCAGACGGGCGCCGAGTAGCGCTAGTTCATCGCAGAATTCCAGAAACAGTTCGATAAGGGAAAAGGATCCGTTCTCTGACCGAGCTGCTTTCGTTCCAACGCACGAAGGAATGGCTTCCCGACCTAAAGGCGGATCGATAGGATCAGAGTGGTCCTTGCTCGCTTCACAGGCTCATCGTGACCTCGACCCATTCGAGGATTACGAGATCGACCACTATCGGGACGGTGACGCGGACGCCCATTCACTTAGGAGTGCCGAAGTGGAACTAGACCACACGCTGGACGATAACCCTCCGCAGTCCCTTTTGAGCCAGCATCATCCAGGAAGGAATATTCATACGCTTTCCAATGTTACCGTGGGCGCTTTACCGACCGTCATGGAAGTGCCCTCGTACCGGGGCTCGGGGCCGTTCTCGGAATCGGACCCGTATCTGCGGAGTCCTTACAGCACCGGGGGCCGATCTCGAGGAGAGCTGTTGGTCGACGCAGCGGGTATCACTTCGACAAGTCTCAGTAACGGTAGTGGACACGACCAACCCAGCCAACCTGGCTCGCCTACGCCAACGAAGGCCTCGTTTATGGACGCGAACCCCACGCATTACCAGCCGGTGAAGCGATCAGACAGCTGGTGGTCGAGGTTTACCAAAAACGCGTTCTTGGATCGACGGGCGAGCGACGCCAGTAGCCGTGGAACGGGAGGTGGACTGAACTATAGGACGAGGAGCGGGAGTTTCTCCGGGAAAACCTCCATGGGATCTCTCGTCGCGGACTTCAGAGATCCAAACCCGGCGCCGAAGCTTGTCGCGATCGAGGAGAACTCGCCAGAGTTGTTACGGGACCCATCCAGACAAGCTAGTGGGGACTCCAAGAACAAGGGGGACGAAGACGCTCGGGGAACGAAGCTACGACGGGCTGTGACGACAGCTCATGAACGGATATATTCCAGCACTGGACACGGAAAATCGATCTCGAGCTTGCAAACAACAAACACGGAAGCGCTCGAAAAGATTGACGGAATGGATATCGTTCAACGGGACGTCACCGAATCCTCTATGAACTCTTGGGGTGCGGTAGAGGGAGCTGTCTCGACGGAGTTTGGAGCGCGAAGACGCGACAACGATGGATCCGCGAACGCTAGGATCTCGGTGCCCGACAGACCGCTTCTGGCTACTAGGCGTACGACGTCGAGTGGGGTCGTTGCGTCGAGAGTGAAGACGTTTGAGAATATGGAACCAAAGAGGGAGCCGGTGAAGTACGGGCTTGCACCGCGCCAGCCGCTGTTCGTCGCGAACCCTGACTCGAGGAAAACGCGGTCGTCGGACTCGGTTTGACCGCCGTTGTTTTCCATTGACAATTTTCCCCTGTGACTTTTCACCACACACATCACGAACAACGGACACCCCCACACCTGCTCATAAATTTTGTGCAACTATCGCTGTGTATCTCTCTTTTTGCTTTTTTGCTACGATTAGTAATTATCTGCTCTATTTCTGTATTGGAATTCACGACCACATTTTACGACGCTCCGGTGGCACGCATCTGTTTCATGTTTTGTTCTGTAACTTCTGTATACGACATCTGCGTATATCAAGTTTTCTCAAACATACGACCCTGAGTTTGATGATCTGGTCGGTTGTGAGGCGAATGATGATCTTTTTCCTGCGACGGGCGTGGTCGAGTCGTACAGGTCGCTCCTTTGGGAGAAAGCGACCCAAAGTTGTGAGAAAGGCACAGGGAGTTGTGTATGTGATCTCTCGGGGCCTAGGCTCTACAAAATTGGATTGCGATTTCAACTAGGTCCACCAACAGATGTGATGTGTTCCACGATCGGTTCGTCGTGAAGTCTACTTCGCAGTCCGCACTTGAAATTCAGCCGAGTGATCTCAGAATAGGTGTGCGTGTGTGAATGTGTACCGTGTGCTGTGCTGGGAAGGCTAAGGAGCGATCGGTGCGAACGTTCGGAGTCTCGGAGTATGTATGCTGATAAGGATCCGTCCGTTCTTCGTCCGTTTTGTGATGGTGATTGGTGCAGTGCGCGTGGGGTTTGTGGATTTGTGTGGATGAATGGGCATCCCTCGTTGTTCGGCGAGTTGGTGGGGCTGAAGGGGTGGTGCGAGGCGTAAAAGGTTATAATTCCCTGGGTAGTCTGTTGAAGCGAATTGAAAGGGATACCATTACAAGGCGGTCTTCCCAGGTTATCAAACCATTAGACGTATCCACGAAAGATGAAATGATTCTCGGAACTCCAGCCCTCAGGAGAACACCCTAAATCGCTTTCGAGGGTTTTCTCGCAGAGTGCCTCGGCGGTCAAGCAGGCCGCCGAACTGTGTAGAGTGTGGATGTGTTCCCCCGCGTCGAAGGAACGTGAGGGGCTGTTTGAGCTCGGGGGTTAGAACGTCGCCTGGTACCGGTTTGAATTGAGGCGCGCGTCATCGATGACGCAGCACGTCTTTCCGAGGGCCGAGAGTGGACTAGGAGGGGAGAGAAGGGGAGGTATTGCTTCCCCCGGTATATACGAGTACCACAGGAGCGAATTTACGGATCTGATGTTGCGATCAGGATAGCAACTTTGCGTTTGGACCCCAAGACCCGCAGCGTGTGTTGTGTGCTGATTGTCGTCACAGAATGACCTCTGCGGAAAACGCATACGGGTTATGTGGTTAGAATACACTTTGAACCGAACCGGGGCCAAGATGGAAATGATAAGAAGTCAGTCCCAGGAAGT